AGGAAACACAGATTTAAAGCCTCAAATCTCTAGACATTATTCTAGGGGCCCCCCTAAATAATGCCAGAAAGCTGCTTGCTGGACTACCCCTTTGCTTGCATGTAAAGGAATAGAGGGTGAGTAAAGCAAATCAAAAGGCAAAGAACAGGAATAAAGATTTAAAGCCTCAAACCCCTAGACATTATTCTAGGGGCCCCCCTAAATAATGTCACACTAGTCTAGAAAGCTATTGTACTTATACAGCAGCACCTCCTTACAGCAGCACCTCCTTACTTAGTAATGGAAAGCCTTGAAGAAAAAGAATAGAAGTCTCCATCCAAAAGCCTCCAAACCCATCAAATCTCAATGGAAATCTCCAAATTGTAATGGAAATCTCCATCCAAAAGCCTCCAAAAGCATCAAATCTCAATACCCAAAAGCCTCCAAAAGCATCAAATCTCAATGGAAATCTCAAAATTTTGAATAGAAATCTCCATCCAAAAGCCTCCAAAAGCATCAAATCTCAATGGAAGTCTCCAATTTTTGAATAGAAATCTCCATCCAAAAGCATCAAATCTCAATGGAAATCTGTCTCCATCCAAAAGCCTCCAAAAGCATCAAATCTCAATGGAAATCTCCAATTTTGAATAGAAATCTCCATCCAAAAGCCTCCAAAAGCATCAAATCTCAATGGAAATCTCAAAATTTTGAATAGAAATCTCCATCCCAAAGCCTCCAAAAGCATCAAATCTCAATGGAAATCTCCAATTTTTGAATAGATATCTCCATCCAAAAGCCTGTAAGATAAGCAAATCCCAGAAAACTCAAAAGGGAAAAAGTAAACTACAACAATAAAAAATATTCAACTACAACTATCCCTGCCCAAAAAAAAGACATTATTCTGGGGGCCTTTATTAATCTGTGCAGGAAAAAAAGACACTATTCTAGGGGGTTTATTAATCATAGGACTACATTACCTGTGTTTGGAATGCCAGCAATGACCGAAGCCTCACAAGTAGGTCAAGTTAAGAAGAAGAGAAGTAGAGGTAAGAAGAGACCACCTAAGTTCAACCGTTGCATGTTCGAGTTTGCGTGTGCCCCTGATTCTCAGACGCATAAGACATTTCTAGAGTTGGGAATCCCACATGTACCCCTAAGCAAGGAACACCTCGACCTGACGAACGCCGACATGCAGGACCAACTCCATAACCATTTGGAGACTTGTGAGGAGGTGCCAGACCTGCGTCAATACCCTGTACCTCAGGTTCCCCATGGCAAAGGGTCAACAGGTCCAAAGGAGGTGCACGATTTGCCCGTGTTCACGCACAGCAGGTTCGTGAATCCAAGCGCCTTTTCGCAGAGTTCGAAAGAAGCGCAGGGATCGTCCTTAGCAGGGGGGGCACTGTGACCTTTGAATGGCCAAAGGGCTGCGAGAGTTGGAATCGCCATGACGTCCAGTCGTTCTTCGATTCGCATCCAGAATTCCAAAAGGTCGAGTTTGATGGTTGCACGGTGGGAGTTAGATCCACTAAGGATAGACCCATTAAGAAGACATGGAGACTCATGACGACAAGCCAGCGCATCGTAGATGCTTTTTCGCAGCACAATATGAACATGATCACGCGGTTGGGTCTCAGACTGCAAAGACCGCCTTTTACCCTCCACAAATGGTAGGCGAAATAGCCAGAGCTTTGTACCCCCAAAGGGCTAATCTAGCTCCAGCCCCAGCCATGCCATGTGTAGTCCCAGCCGCTGCCTCCCAGGCGCGGGAAGAGGAGCGTAGGGTGAAAGAGCAATCCTTGAAACACATCTCCGCACTTGCAGGAGCCGATACATTTGCATTGGCCGTCGAAACCGACGAAGTTGCAAACCAGATGGCAGAATGCCTGATGGATTTGGAAACTCTCGTTCGAACTGCATTCGATATTCCTGAAGATCCTGAACATCACGGTAGGGTACATGCCATGGTAACTAAGTTGCTCTCTAGAGCAGAGATGTTAGCGAACCCTAAAGCCGTTGAGAAAGTAAAGGAAGAAGCAACATCCCTTACCGACATCGGCGCATGGGATCTTGATTCGGTTCAAGAATATGATGCAGTCAAGGCTGAAGCAAAAGCTAGCAAAGTGTCCGTACACTTTGGCCGTCTAATGACTATCGCCTCAGTTAAATTTTGGGAATTGGCAGAACACCTTCACAAAATGAAGGGGCGAATAGTATATCGCGGCGACTGTGCACGCGACGAGAATGGCGTCGCCGCCGTCTACGAGGAGTTGGGCGCGAACCCAACCTCCGTACAGGGATTAAACGCCTGTCTAGCCTACGGCTCCTTGCCGGGACATGCCTGCACGGCGGCAGACGCCGTGAAGGCTTATGTTCAAGCCTTTCTCAAGAGTAAGTACAAAACGTGGATCGAACTTCCACCTGAACTCCGCCCGGAGTGGTGGAAGGGAAAATTCACCCGTCCAGTTGTACTTCTAGTGAGGGCACTATATGGACATCCCGATGCAGGCGGAATGTGGGAAAACCACTTAAAAGGGATTTTAAAGAAAATGGACGGTGAGGAGATTCCTGAATACCCCGGAAATTTTTATTTCAAAGGGACAGGTCTCATGTTATCTACGTATGTAGACGATTTGACATTATCCGGGCCAACAGAGCACCATGCTCCTTTCTGGAAACAACTAATGTCAGAAGTGAACGTAGAACCTCCCGAAACCATTTATAGAATCCTCGGAAGAAACCATGTTTATGCCAGTTTCGACAAAGTACAGGGTGAGGAGAACGCTGCTTTAGGCGCGGCTCCCGATGCATTGATTTTCGACATGAAGGACTACGCCCAACAGACCATAGACCTTTATAAAAGCGTAGCAAGAGTCGATAAAATCAAACCTGCACAAACACCCTTTATCCCTGACGGAACATGGCCAAAGGAGGACGAGGACTCTCCTGGAGAACTCGCCCCAAAAGCATGTTCAATACTAATGAAGGCCCTTTGGTTGGCCCGCCTTTCTAGACCCGACATCCTTAAGCCTATTAACGACTTAGCAACTAAGGTCCAAGCCTGGACCAGGGTACACGATAAGAAGTTATTAAGGCTAATCCAATACCTCCAATATTCGCTAGACTATAGACTAACCGCATCTTGCCAAGATGATCCTAGGGATCTCAGGCTTGAACTATATGTCGACGCAGACTTTGGAGGCGATGCCGGTGACGTTAAGTCAACCTCGGGCGGGTTCCTCGTACTAAAAGGTCCAACCACATTTTTCCCACTTGCATGGATCTCGAAAAGACAGACATCCACTTCACGCTCCACCACGGAGTCAGAAGTGGTGAGCTTGGCACACTCTTTGTACCAGGAGGGTATCCCTGCTCTCCAACTCTGGGAGAAACTCTTGCAGAGGCCGGTGGACTTAGTTATCCACGAGGACAACCAAGCCACCATCATAGTCGTTCGTAAGGGGTATTCCCCTAAACTTCGACATATCGGCCGCACACACAAGATAAACCTCTCATCCTTGAAAGAGTGTCTCGATGACCCATGCATCAATGTGCAATACATCGACACCAACGAACAGGCCGCCGACATCTTTACGAAAGCGCTGCCACCACAGAAGTGGTGTAAAGCTTTATGCCTTCTTGGCATACGTACGGATATTCGCGAGCCGAAGCCTTCCCTTAGGGACCGAAGCTTTTCGATAGGTGCCGACGTAGGTGCAAAAGCCGCTGCTTAATGCGCGGTAATTAATACCTGTACATACAACCCATGGCACGCCAAATCGGCGAGGGGGGAGTCGAAATTTAAGAACCAGGATTAACCCCTAACTTGTCATGCGGTTTTGTATGAACAGTCATGTTTAGCTAGGTCGGTAGAAACCTTTACACGTTTCACACCGACCGTGCGTTTGGCTCAAGAAAACGGGCGTTCCGCTTGTTTTCAGCGTCCGTCACGTCGCTCGCGTTCGCTCGCCCGTGCCGGTGCATTTCGCTTTCGCGCAATTCGTGTTGTGTGTTCTTAGGCTGCCGTAGGTGCTCCTTCGTACACACCCCACACCTGGTACACAACGGGGACCCGACCTTCCGGGGCTCGCCGCCGCGTTTTCCTCAGGGTTCTCCGCACTATAGGTTACCTCTCATCCCATTTGCCCCTTAGGCAACTGTGGTGGCTGTTCCCTGTGGATATCCCTGAACCCTTGTCACTTTCATTATAATACTTTAATATGATGGATGACATAAACAATGTGTTCGAACTATGTAATAGGGCTGGAGATGGTATACTCACGAAACCTTTATAGTATACTTGCCAAAGATCCCATATTATCCGACTAGGAAACGCCTTTTGACCTTTTGACAGTCACATCCTATGAAGTGTTCTTCCTTCTTTCTTCCTTTTAAGGCGAGAACCCTGTGAAATTTCGCACAAAGACGTCAAGCACCAGAGACAAAGCTGAAGCTTGGCAGTGCAAGCAGGTTCCAAGCAGGCAGCGCGCATGGAGTTCTGAACTATACACGTTTGTTGTTTGTTGACCGAGTTGCACCATGATCTACAGTCAGTCCGATAGTCGACAGAAGTTTTGTACGCGTCACAATTGATTGAATGATTGGTTGATTGATTGATTGATTGAGTGAGTGAGTGAGTTTCAGGGCTTATTAAAGAATACGTGGTCCTGCTACCGACGCACATCCCAGCGGTCAATCCGTTTTGGATTCGATTAGACAATTTGACATGGAAATTCATCGCAGCAGCGCGGGTCACTAAACGAAGTGACAGACCACCTTAGCCAGAGCCTAAGCCTCTAAAGACAACTGCAAAGGATTCCAAAGCAAAGAACGATAAAGAACGCGCTTGAAACGGAAAGCGTGCAATTATCACCAGGAAATTATTGAAACAAGTGGACGAAATGAAACGAAGGAAAAAGGTCTGGAAACGGCACTGATTCTCAAACTTTCATGAGGACTTGAAGCGAAAGAAGGCACTTGAAACAGAACGCACGCTATTGAAGCGCAAGGAAAGGACTGAAACGAAAACAAGGTTGAAACGATAAGAGAGGGAAGGTTTTTCCACGGAAGTCAGGTTCTGAAACGATAAAATGTGTCTGAAGGAAAAATCACTTGAAATGAACCGCGCGTGGTTGAAACGCCAGGAACGTCTTGAAACACAAGGAAGTAAGTTGTGATACGAAGAAGTCGAAGCGACGGGAAGGTCTTGCAACGGAACAGAGGTTCTGACACGAGAATCAGGATTGACAGAGCCTTCAGACGCCAGGAAACTTAGAGATATCAGGCGTTTTGCAGACAGTAACTAGGGCTCCAGACGCTGAAACTCTAAAAGCGTGAAGAGGCTTAGAGGAGAAAGGAGGCTTAGGCGTGAATGAGCTTGGTGGTATGAAGTCATGAGGCATCAAGGGTTGAGAGGCCTGCGAGCGCTAAATACTGACAATGAGACTATCCCCACCACTTCCACCTTGTACGCCCTTTCTCCTGTGCCATCGGCTTCTAAGCATTTTTAGCCAGTGCGCCACCTTTGAGCTTATGGGCTTAGAGAGGCGGTCGCAACAGGTTGGAGCTAAGAGGTGTTTGGTGGTACCCTCGCTTCCGCTGCGGAAATTCTAAGAACATTTTGTTCCGTAGAGCGGCCGCATGAATTTTCAGGCCTGGTGATCAAGTAGTTGCATGTTGACCATGGCTTTTGACAGTCCTCGCAGGCCAATACAATGGCTGTGTAGTATGTGTAATGTTTTAGATGGTTGTTGCTTAACGTTCTTAAGCCCTTTTTGCATGTGCAGACTCTCCACAAATTAGTGTGAGAAAATGCAACTCTTTGTGTTCATGCATGAGGCAAATCCACACTTAGAGGCAAATTGCGTGCTGACTTCGCCAAGGTGTGGAACCAGGCCTCCAAACTTCAGATTGGTCATGGGGACTTCCTGACATTTAGAGTTCAAGACAAGGACAGCTTTGGGCCTGCAGCTTGCCAAGCTTTTATGTCAGCAAAGGCATCACTTTTGTTTCGCTGCTTCATGATTCCCCTATGCAGGACTCTGAAGATCCCATGTCCTTCATTGCACAAGCCAAACTCCAGTTCGACCTTATGATCCCCTCAGGTGGGAAAGAAGCAGACAAATGTCACTTCAGATTCAGTAAACACTCTGAAGGAATCAAATTGCTAATGGTGTTACACTTTGAAGCTCTACCATCCTGCCACCCAAAGGTTTTGAAGACGAGCTTCCTTTGGAGGATGTCAGTGGGAACAAGGTGAACTTGCTTTTGAGTCAATGGTGGAATGATCGCATGTAGCATCATGCAGTTGCCCTCATTGGAAGAAAATATGTCAGACTTGCTTTCTTCCCCACTTGTGGCACACAAACCTGACAGCTAAAAAGATATACTCACAAATGGAGAGATTGACCATATAAACAACGCAGAGCAGTTGTCCCTCAATCTTGAACATTTAGGAATTGTTTCTTTCAGCATGTACTTCAAGGACCTTTCTCCCACCAGGTGAGAGGGGCTTCCTTAAAGAACCCGCTCTACCGTAGTAGCTGTCGTTCTTACTAGTGCTGTAGCAGCTCACCTTGCTATATTATTTATTTATTTAGTTACCCTACCCCTGCCCCCAAGAATGTTTCGTTTTCAATACCCTCCATTGTGTTCACAGGTTGCTGGTGCAGGCCTCAAGGCGCTGGCTCAGAGCGGTTCAACGTAGAATTGACACGCTCAATGCCTTTGTTGCAGGTTCGTGTGCGCGTCCAAGGAGCTCGCAACGCAGGCCAGGAGGCATGATACCGTTCGAGGTCAGGCGTGCTCAGTACAGCCTGATGCACGACGGCAGAAGTCTAAATTGGCAGTAGGTTGCACAATGTTGCACCATGTCACTACCACCACATCATCATTCCCAACGCGTCAAGCAATTCTATGCAACATTTTGCAACTTTCTCTGTTTGGCTATTTGGCATGTATGCTTTTACAGACCGTGGGAGCTGGTCTATGGTGTGTATTTTCCTACGTCTCACCTGACTTGCCCAATCAGCAGTCAGCTCTCTTCAGTGTGAGTGAGACAGAGGCGTGCATAGACGCACTTTAGCTCCTGTAAGGGAGGTCCCTTTGACAAGCCAAGGAGCCTGGGCCAACGCCACACGACTAGACTGGACCTCTGGCTCACCAAGAGTATGGCGTGCAAAGCCCGCTACATTCAAATTCGCAACATTAGTTCTGCAAGATACGCGTTGCGGCCGTTGCCTAAAATAGAGCCGACATGTATGTCATATGTCAGTGCGTATGTGAACTGTTGGGCAGAGCGAGGGTACTGCTGAAAAGAATCAACCTCTCTCCCTTTTTGCTGTCACCCTTTGCAAGTGTCCAAGACTTTGCACACCTGGACGTCGTTTCGTCAACGTTTCGTCTGGCTAGCGGCATTTCTCCATGGATATTTTTTCGCGATTTATTTATATTTTTCGGATTCTGCTTTTGCTGCTTCTGCTGCTTTTTTGCTTTTGTTGCTTTGCTGCTTCTGCTGCTTTTTTGCATTTGTTGCTTTTCTGCTTTTGCTGCTTTTCTGCTTCTGCTGCTTTTTTTGCTTTTGTTGCGTTTCGGCTTTTTGTGTTTTTGTCTTTCTGCTCTTTGCTTTTGTTGCTTTTCTGCTTTGGCAGCTGCTATCCTTTCTATTTTTGTTTTTGCTTTTCCATTTGTTTGCTTTCTAACCTTTGGATCTGGTGTGCTGCTGGAGGGGGGCGCTGCGCCCCCCCCAACCCCCCCCGCGCCACGAAATCTGCACTTCATCTCCGACACCCGCGCCTGCCACGAAATCAATATTTTAAGGTGAACTCCGGGCCTGTGCTAGTTTTCTTTCTCTTTACTAGCTGCACCAAACTGTTGTGATAGGTAGGAATTTCTTTGACACCTACACTATTCCAATGTATTGCCAGCTACGACAGCTCCCAAATTAGTCTAATCAGCTAGCAATCATTATGAAACCTGCACTATTCCAATGTATTTGGCCAGCTACGACACCTGTGTCTCTACTAAGGACACGAAATTGCTGTAATTAGCTAGGTACTATATAATTCCCCAAACAGTGTGGGCACACTGAGGGTTTCTTAGGGCAATAGAAAAACAGCTGATGCTTAGATAGCTGAAGCGCGCGGCCGTGACCGGCTAATTCGCTGCTATTTACAATACATTCATGCCTCTCGACATCGTCCATGTGCATTTCGACTGCGCAGGCTCGCTGAATCTGGGTGTCCGCGGCGGGTGCTTCTAATGACTGCGCTCTCGTTGTGGTGCCGTGCGCATTTTCGTACATGGTGGTGACTTTTCGTGGCAGGCGCAAGGGAAACCTCGTGTTTTGGTGCTCCAAAGTCGACGAGAGGGCGATCCATGGACGACCCCGTGTCCAACATGAGGACTATCAACCAGGACAGTACGTCTACATCTACAGGGCCTCCAAAGCACCTGGTGGTGTGGCTCGGAGGCGACAAAACATCGGGGAATGGATTGGTCCTGGAATCATCATTGGCAAGGAGGGCAAAAGCAATTGTCTTCTTTGCGCCTGTCGCCTGTGAACACCTTCGTCTTGCAGAATCAGAAGAACTTGGGGCGCTCCTGCAAGCCAAAATGGTGAAGGAAGATTTGGTACGCTTGATCGTTGGAATGGAAGAAGAAGACGACACCGTATTTGCGGATGCAACAGGTGAGCCCAGGGAAGATGGGGGTGAGACCGGAAACCACGGATCAAAACGAGATCCGCCGGATGACATGGTTCCACTACGGAGGATGAAACAAAAGGGGTGGACGCCTATGGTTCCTCAACACACCATCCGTGGATTTGGACCACCACCTGATGGAGACCAAGACCTACCAATGGTTCCTGAGGATGACGAGCTCCTGTGCTACATGGCGTCCGACAAAAGGTCGACAAAGAGCTGAAGTGGAGCCAGGTCCCGGAAAACGAGATTCCACTCTACAAGCAAGCGGAAGGAAAACAATGGGGGGAGCACCTCACGTACGAGGCAATCAGAATTGTCGACCCTCAGGAAGCTCAAGACATCCGGAGGCGACTTCCCAAAGAAAGAATCTTCAAAGCAAGGTTTGCCTATACAGACAAGAACTGCTCCAAAAGAAGGGAGGACCCTACATGCCCTCCTAATCCCTGATAGAGATTGTAAAAGGAGTATTTGGATTGTCAACATCACCTCGTTTATGGTGGGACAAGCTGGCGCACTCCCTCCTCGACATCAAGGTCCGTGTAGGAGATCAGGAGCTGCGATTGGTCCAACACGACTATGGACAGTTGTCTTTTTCCCCTCCTTGACAAGAGGACAACCTACATGGAGCTTTGGCCACGCATGTTGACAACATCCTCACCAGTGCTCCAGTACACATCCGGAAAGCAACGGAGCAAGCTCTCTCAGGCGTCTTCCCAATTGACTCATGGGAGGGGGCAACGGAAGGATTGGAGTACTGTGGAGTAACAGTCAAACAAGAAGGGGATAAGGCCACACTGAGCCAAGAACACTATGTCAACAGCCGCCTGGAGACGGTTGAGATCCCCAATACCCCTCAGGTAGAGGACTTTGCTGACGAGGTCAAGATGGACAACCAGTCGATTGGAGCATTGTCTTGGTTGGCTTCACAAACACGACCCGATCTACAGGCTGGAGTCTCAATGGCACAGAGAAAACAAAAGAACCCCACATATGGTGACATTAAGGAAACAAATCAAGTGGTGAGAATGGCTCAGCAAGCCAAAGGGGAGAAGGTGACCTACCAGAACATGGGCAACATGGAGGACCTCCTCATCATGGTCTACCACACCGTCCAAGGAGGACCAGGAGTATACGGAGGCCAAGGAGGTTGGGATTTACTCGCAGCTGGGCTATGTCCTGCTCATCACCCACATGGATGTAGCGGAAGTGGCATTCCGGGCCACCCTCATGGGATGTTTCAAGAAGGGCAACAAGAAGAAGTTGCCCATCGTGTCGGTCACCGACTGTAAAAGCCTTTTTGACTCGGTGCATCGAGTCGGAGGGCCAAGAGCCCCATCCGAGAAGCGCTTGTTGGTGGATTTGGCAGGCCTACGCCAAATGATCAAAGAGAAGAGGAGATCAATGGATGGGCCGAATGGGAGAAGAAGAAGATTGGAAAGGCCATGAAGTGGCTCCCAACCAACCACCAGATTGCCGACAACTTCACGAAGGTAATTCACAAGTGTGGAGCATGGTGGGATGCCCTAAGAGCTTTGCAGCCGGTGGGAGACGTGTCCAGGTCAACATAGAATGTTGTGAGTGTGAATGTGACACTCGTTGACCTGGACACACCCGCTACATATAGGCGCAAGAGTCCTTTTGCTTTCGAGCTTTTGGACAAGGACCCAGGCTTTCTCGGTTTATAGTACTATACTTGCTGTAGGATGTTGCCTGTCTCAAGTCTCTTTGCAAACAGCTATGGTGAGTTTGTGGTTCTCGATTTTGCTTGGGTCCTCCGGTTGTGCGTTGTGGTTGTGTGCTGTGATTCTGAGTGATTGTGTTTATGGTTGTGTGTTTGCGGTTAGGTGTTGTCGTTGTGTTTGTGGTTGTGTTTGTGGTTGCGTTTGCGATTGTGTTTGTGGTTGCGCTTGTGATCGCGTCTTTGTCGTTGTGACTGTGGTTGTGTTTGTGGTTCTGTGCTTGTCATACGTGTTTGTGATTGTGTTTATGGTTGTGTGTTTGTGGTTGTGTGTTGTGGTTGTGTTTGTGATTGTGTTTGTGGTTCTTTGTTTGTGATTGTGTCTTTGTGGTTGTGCTTGTGGTTGCGTCTTTGTCGTTGTGGCTGTGGTTGTGTGTGTGTGTGTGTGTGTGTGTTGTGGTTGTGTGTTTGTGGTTATGTGTTTGTGGTTATGTGTTTGTGATTGTGGTTGTGGTTGTGTGCTGTGGTTGAGGTCCGGCAGGGAACACTGGGCGTGGATGGTCGTGGTTGAGGTCCGGCGGAGGAGGCGGAGGAGGAGGAGGACGAGGAGATGCGGCTGACGTAAAATCTAACAACCCTCACCTGACAGGTGGGGAATTAAAAGTGCACCCTGTCGCCATGGAGTGAAGTTCAGTGCGCCACAGCTTTGCCGACCTCTCTCAATGCATCACAAATCCCTCGTTGCCCTCATTCTCAATGCAGTCTTCTTTTTGTCCCAACCTTTCGTGACGGAGTGTGCTTACAGGCACACAACTCTCTGGTACTGGCACTGTTTACCGTAGTACTGTAGTGCCTGTGATTTTTGTCATAGATTCTTCTTGCTGACGTCGCTAGACTCCTTTCTTAGTTCAACAAAGATACAAATGTGGAATTCATCAATTTGCCGCGTAAGCATTTGTGCAGGGCATTAGATCCTGCGAAAACTTGCGAAAACACCTTGTGCAAGCGCCCGGCTGTGTTGTAACATTCAAACCGCGAACGCAAACCGCCAAGGCAAAATAGGATTTTTGCCTAAGTGCACCGCTAAACAGCATCAATCAATTTCACCACTAAATTAATCCAAATTGTTTGTTTGTGTTGGTGCCTTTAAGGAACCCAAAAGACCGCATAGGCGCTCTTGCGGTGAGGCGGTCGCTTGTGACACCGATTTTCGCGTCGCTTGTGACGCCGATTTTGTCGCAGCGCGCGTACTGCCGGGGTATATTTTGCAGGGTGTGATGATGCGGCCATGGGCCAATCATTTCACTAGATCCCCACCCAACCCCACCCCACAGTGTCGTCGCACGTTGCTCGCGGAAATGTTATTTTTTTGGTGTGTACAGTCACCAACAGGAGAGACAGAAAGGTGCCGCGCTCGTAGCGGGGTTTGGCCATTCATGAGCCCTGCGGAGGCGATTGGTACACTTGCAAGGAGGTGCCTCCAGTCCAGGTCATACCGCATTGCTTGTGACTACTTCGCGCGTGTCATGTCTTTCATTCTGAAACTGGAAACCATTTAGCAGAAAGGGGGCTTAACACAGAGTGCGACTATGTGAAGATTGCGATGGACGTCACGTGGCCATCATCAGCCATTTTGTGCAGCTGTTTCAACTGGCTGGTCGGCGCCGGGTGCGGAGGCCAAGTTTGCCAATTTTGCTGTCAGGGTTGGAGGCCATCGCCCTTAGGGTTGGTTTAAATCACTGGCTGGGGCTGCAAGACAGGACATGGGCGGCGTGCAACCGAAGTGCTGCGCAGCGCAGGCTGAGATCGGAGCTGTGGGGACATTTGTTCTTTCAAGTCCAGATACTGTATGCCCATACTTCCCATACTGTAGTCATTTGTGACACCAGTCATGAGGAGTCTCTTGCCCATTCTTGCCCCCGCACAAAGACGAGCGAGGGAGGGAGGGAGGGAGGGACACACTTATGGATATGCGTACTGAACTGAAAGCGGTGCCACACGCCGGCCTAGGGTTCCATTTCCTAAGGGTACAGGTAAAGAAACCTAACAAGGAAGTGGAGGTCCATCCAGTGGAGGTTCCGCAGGTTTCAGGTGGCCAGCAACTCCAAAAGGAAACACCGATCGAGCGGACGACAAGGTGACGGCGTGCGCGCAAAAAAGCCAAGTTCATCACCGCTGCATTAGCCGCTTACTGCAAAACACAGAATTGGGACAGCTTGTCCATTAAGTAGGTTTCTCTTCAAGCAGGTACGTCAATCCGGCGTCCCGGATTGATTTCACCAGCGCACATCCAGTGTCTTCGTTGGTGCAAGACTGGATGGGCTGCCTGCGCCCCCTGCTAAATGAAAAACAATTCAAACGAATCCCTGTGACTACAAGGGGCACACACACACGCCTCCCCGAGGGGAGGCGTAAAACTAACGTGAGGGCCGATGTGCGCGTGTGCGCGCGCCGGGCAAAAGAAAGACATGACAGGAAGACGAGACGGGAACCAAGTGCACAGGGACACCCGATGAAGCCCACCTCATTGCAAAGACCTGGGCGACCTGAAACCTGTGTTTAAAGGTAGGTAGAAGTGCACGTACACACTAAGGCCGGGACCAATGTGCACGCAAACGAAGAAAAGGATGAGATGAACAGACATGAAGACAGGAGGACATGAAAGAAAAGAAGAAACAAAAGTATGTGAAGGGGAAGGGATGAAAGGGGAACCAAATGGAGGGGACGAGAACCGAGGAAACCAAACCTCATTAGAAGCACCTAGGGACCTGCCTCGTTTGAGTGTAAGCGCTGTGTGTGCACCTGAGGTTGGGACAGGTTCCAATGAACCTTGAACAAGCTTCGGTCGCTGCGACCACGTACGGCATGCCCGAGGGCGGCCACCTCTGACCGCTGCGGTCACGTAAAGGCATGAGCCAACTTGGAATTCCAAAGATGGGGCAAAAATCATAGTTCTTTCGGCCTAGGCCACCTGCTGTCCGCTCCGGACACCTACGTTCCCAAAGCCGGGGAACATGGACAAACCCCCGTTCGACGAGTCCACGGGAGGCACTCTGCAGGCTCATCCCGGGTTGGCGCGAGGCCAAACACACTTATGGATATGCGTACTGAACTGAAAGCGGCGCCACACGCCGGCCTAGGGTTCCATTTCCTAAGGGTACAGGTAAAGAAACCTAACAAGGAAGTGGAGGTCCATCCAGTGGAGGTTCCGCAGGTTTCAGGTGGCCAGCAACTCCAAAAGGAAACACCGATCGAGCGGACGACAAGGTGACGGCGTGCGCGCAAAAAAGCCAAGTTCATCACCGCTGCATTAGCCGCTTACTGCAAAACACAGAATTGGAACAGCTTGTCCATTAAGTAGGTTTCTCTTCAAGCAGGTACGTCAATCCGGCGTCCCGGATTGATTTCACCAGCACACATCCAGTGTCTTCGTTGGTGCAAGACTGGATGGGCTGCTTGCACCCCCTGCTAAATGAAAAACAATTCAATCGAATCCCTGTGACTACAAGGGGCACACACACACACACGTATATATATGTATAATTATGTGCATATATATCATATATATACACTGTTTTTTGCATAGAGAGAGAGAGAGAGAGTCTCTATGGAGACTCTACTGCAGCGGCTGCTGGCAGGACGTGCAGAACACCACGGGTGAAGCTGCATCAGAGACAAAGCTAGTGAGTGACCAGCCCATCCCTCCAGTAGGGAAGCCATTGTGGCTAACAGAGGCCAGAGTGTCGGGGTGCAAGGATGAGCGTTGTTGGAATGGACTGGTATGCATACGCAATTGAAGCGCCCACTGCGCGGTTGCAGAATGCAGGCAGAGGAGTATGTAACTTTGCAGCTGCTTGGCCCTATTGCAGTTTGCGAAAGAAATGCCTAGCCTAGCGTTCACAATCATTTGGAGGAATCAGGATGTCGAGACAAAGGTCCGTGTGAAAGGTCCCAATGCGGCAGTAGAAGAGCTGGCTATTTTCGATATGAGTTGTCAGAGCTTCAGCTAGCAGCTAGCACATGTTATTTTTAGATTCAGTTCGGGCTTGCTCATCTCAGACGATTGTATCAAAGTCATTTTAAATCAGAGTTGTGATACGCGGAGAAAGCAACTTGTTTTGTAATTTGAGAGTCGGTGCGCGGTTGAGGAAGCAGAAGGAGGAAGAAAACCACCAGCGTGAGAAGCTGAGACTGGCTACTCCAAGTGGTCAGTGTTTTCTTGTTGGATCGTTGTTCGCCTTTTTTTAAATAAAGTCTTGTGAGACAAGGCTGTAGGCATGCGTGGATCATTGCCCACAATTGAAAACAACCATAAATCATTTTGGCGTCCATCTCCCAGATGATGCTCTCTTGGTCAGGTGCTTGTTTGCTACCAAAGCCGTAGGAGGGTGGAGAAACTTCATTGCCAAAGCCACAGAAACACTGGCCCTCACTTGGCCCCATTTGCAAGGACGTGCTTGTTCATAGGCAGGCTCTTCGGAACTTACTGTATATAGATTTGCTATTCTTCAATCAACTTGCTTCAATGCCCAAGATCTCGTTTGCATGCGCACCATTTCTGCAACACTTTCTGTGCTAATGTATCGGGACGTGGAGCACATCAATCTCAAACGTCCTCGCTTGCTAGAAAACTTATATACATAGAACAATTGAGCGCACATTCAATAAACATGCTTCGAGAACTGTTTTTCAACCAGCATGGATGTCCACAGAGCCTTGCGATTCTGATGTTCAAACCTTGGACCCTTTGCAGATATTGATATAGTATAGATATCTGAATCCACCACTGTGCCCTTGGATTTTTCCCCAAACAGGTTTACCTGTGAGGGGTTCTTACTCCTTTTAAAGGAATGCATGCTCGGGCCGGATGATTTTGAGTTTGCCTCCGGGCTTGTGTTCCTGGCTGCATGATTTCACCCTTGTCTCCCACTTGTCTCCCACTTGTCTCCCAGTAAGCTCTGGATGCTCTCAGTGCTCTGGCCGCATGATTTTATACTTGTCTCCCATTTGTCTCCCACTTGTCTCCCAGTTGTGTCCCGATGCTCTCAGTGCTCTGGCCGCATGATTTCAGGCTTGTCTCCCATTTGTCTCCCACTTGTCTCCCAGTAAGCTCTGGATGCTCTGAGTGCT